GATGCGGGACTCGATCCAGGGACTCCAGGATCATGACCTGAGCCGAAGGCAGTCGCTTAACCAACTGAGCCACCCAGGCGCCCAAGAAAGATTTTCTTAAATGAGACCCAAAAGTCACTCAGCAGAGAAGAGGAGATTGGTGAATATGGTTATATTACAATTAAGAACTAACGTTCATCAAGGTCACCTTTAAAAAGTGAAGACAAGTTAATCACTGGGAGAAGATATTTACAATGCATATAACTGGGAAAAAAGTATGAAAATATATAAAGCTCTTCAATAAATTCAATAGGAAAGTCAAACACCCAATACGGCATTGGGCTGCAGATGGGACCGGGCATTTTAGAGAGGAGGTGTTCATATGCCAGTAAGACAGAGAGATTTTCATCGTCACTGGCAACCAATGAAATGCAAATCAATACCATAGTGAGATAGTGAGATGACAAAAAAATTTCAGAAAACCAAGTGCTGCAGAGATTATAGATCAACAGGATACGAAAGGCACAGATGGATGTATAAAAGGATGCATTTGCTCTGGAAAACCTTGTAAATCGGAATATTCACACACCCTCTGACCTAGTAATTAAATTCTTACATAATGCTGAAGAAAAACTCTTGCAAGTGAATGCAATGAGATATGAACAAGAACATCTGGAACAACTCAAATGTCCAGCAACAGGAGCTTAGGCAATAGACAAAATCATAAAATGAAACAGACAACTGCAACTTCATGCAACATGGATGAATCTCCATGACATAACTTACAGTGTTGGGTCTACAAAAGCAAGTCCAAGAAGAGTGCACAGAATGTGACCAACCTTTGTAGGTTCAGAAGTAATTAAACTAATCAGCATCTATTTCAGGCATACGTATATGGGATAATGCTAGCAACAAAAGATTCAGAGCAATGGTTACTGGGGATGCGTCACAGAGCAACCTGAGCAGATGGAAGTTAGGGTCAGTGTTTGAGGTCTCAGGTTGGATGGTAGGCTCACAGTTGCTTATCATATTGTGAACAAAATGAGTAAGTACTAATGAACAATGCTTGTTCCTGCGATAAGAGGTTGGTCACAAATAAAGCATTTTGGATAACACCATTTAGGGTAATATGGATGTAATTTTATAGGGGAGAGGGGACATGTTGCATACAGGTAGAGTGAGAGACAATTGCAGCCCCCTGCCCTCAAAGACATCACAAATATGAGAGGGCGGAGATAAAGCAAAGGCGGTGATGTTGTGTGAGGTGCCCCTCAAGACAGGGATGGACACAGAGCTCTGGGCACATAGGGGAGAGAAGCATGGACACTGGCAGGAAGGGAGATGGCAAAGGTTTCCCAGAGCAGAAGATGCTGGTACTGGAGCTAGAAGTATGGTATGATCACACAAGGTGGTCTGGTGGAAGTCGAGACAGGAGAGCATTCCAGGTGGGAGGAACTGTACATGCAAAGGCCTCAAGTCATAGGGGAGCAGGTGTGTATGGAGACCATGAGAAGGTCAGTGTGGCTGGACCATAGCCAGACCAGGGCTGGAGTGGCCATCAGGGGAGACTTCTAGAAGTACTTTAAATATCAGACCAAGAAATGTGACTCAATTCTCTAAACAACGGGAGCAAACAACATAATTGAAACTCCCAAATGGCTGGAAAGCAATAGATTTCGGGAGAGGTTCTGTCAGGCTATGTCCAGCAAAGAGTGATCAGCAGGGGTGGGACAAGAGGTGACCAGAGGGCCACTGGGTCTGGGAGATGAAGGCGAAGAACAGAAGGGATGCCAACTCCCAGGTGTCCACCCAGGTGACCAGCGTGGAGCAGGGGATGGGGAAATGCTAGGAGCTCCATCTGGACTCTGAAAGGACAAGCCCGGGGCCCCACAACTGCATGAGAGGACGCCAGCATCACTCACCCAGGCAACTGTACCCATGACAGGATCTTCATTACCCAGGCCCTCTTGACTCCCGGATGCTTGCTTCCTGCAGGCTTTCACTCTAAGGGGAGAAATGAACACACTGCAGCCAGGATGGCTCAGGCACCCATGGGCAGGCTGCCCGTTCTCTGGTGAAAGGGCATCCAGACCCCGGAAGTAACCTCAGACCTTCCTGACCTGCAAGTAAGCACTCCATCCCCCTGGATGAGCAGAGGTTTGGCCAGACCAAACCTCCATCACTAAAGATCCCTCTAACACATTAAAAACTTGTGCCCGAGTGGTCATAGCAGTGTTATTTGTGATAGCCAAAAAGTAGAAACAGCCCAAATGTCTATCAGTAGATGAATGACAAACAAAATGTGCTCCACCCATGCAATGGAATGGTATATGGAAATAAAAAAAGGATGCAGTATCGGGCGCCTGGGTGGCTCAGTCAGTTAAGCGTCTGCCTTCAGCTCAGGTCATGACCCCGGGGTCCTGGGATCGAGCCCCACTTGGGCTCCCTGCTCAGCGGGGAACCTGCTTCTCCCTCTGCCTCTGCCTCTCCTCCCCACTTGTGCTCACTCTCTCTCAAATAAATAAATAAAAATCTTTGGAAGAAAAAAGGGTCAAGGACTGACACATGCCACAACACTCATGAACCTTGAAAACATCATGCTAAGTGAACGAGGTCAGTCACAAAGGACCGCGTGTTGTATGATTCCGCTTACACAGAATGTTCGGAATAGGCAAATGTAGGGAGACAGAAAATAGATTGGCGGTTGCCTAGGGCTGGGGGAGGATGGGGACAGGATGAAAATTAAGGAGTGGAGGGTTTCTTTGGTTTGTTTCTCTTTCATTTGGGGGCTGATGCAAAAGTCCTATAATTGTGATAATGGATGCACAACTCGGAATACACTAAAAGCCATTGAATTGTACACTGTAAATGTATGGGAAGTATATCTCAGCACAGCTGTTATCCCCCCACCGCCCAAAAGAGATGCCCTCTGGATCTACTCTACTCCGCTCTGCATTTCTGGGATTGAGTGACCTCTCTCCGCACTCCCTGTACCTCCCCGGACAAAGACTTACATGCAAAAGAAGATGAGGCACAGACTTAGGGACAGCAGGGCCCCAGCACCAGCACCTCCAAGAGCGGCAGGCAAGGCTCCTGCCAGGAACACCGATTTCCCTGCAGAGAAGAGGTGTGTCAAGACTCACTTCCAGGACTCAGTCTCTTGCTTTCCTACCTCCTTGCAGAACTTGCTGAAGGGCCAGCTTAGGCCAGAGATGGAGCAGTACCCTATCCCACCAATCGCCCTCTGTGCAGGCCCAGCCCCAGCCAGCCCCAGGCTTCTCTAGGACTCCCTTCCCCTACATCTCAGCCCCCGACAGCCCCCGGACCTGGCAGCAGCAGGAAGGCGGCGCTCTGGGACCCGTGGGCGTTCCGGGCCTCGCAGCTGAGTCTGAGGCCGGAGCCCAGCGGCCCGCTGAGGCTCAGGGAGCTGTTGGCCCAGGGCCCCGCAGAGCTGGAGGTGATGGTCCAGGAGGCGTTGCTGTGGTTCCCCTCCAGCAGCCCCTCCCCCAGCCGCCAGCGCAGGGTGGGGGCCGGGTGGGCCCGGGAGGAACAGCTGCAGTGCAGCCCCTCGCCCTCCCAGGAGCAGGAGGGGCTGAGCGGCCGCGGGGGGTCTGCGGGAGGGAGGTGAGGGGTCAGCGGTGTCTCTCCTGCCCAGGCCCCGGGCAGCCTGCCCCCAGGGGTCCCCACACTCACAGACCACAGAGAGATGCAGGGAGACGTGCTGGGAGCCCAGCGGGTTCTGAGCTTGGCAGGTGAGGTCTCCTTCCTCTGCAGCCCCTACTTGAGGCAGGTCCAGGTTTGCACTCCTGTAGATGGGGGTGGCATTCCAGAGGGGGGACCCCCGGAACCAGCTCAGCTCGGCAGGGGGGCTGCTGTCAGCAGCACAGAGCAGACTGAGAGCCTGGCCCTCCAGGATGAGAACCAATGAGGTGTTTTGCAGAATCTTCGGGACTTTGGGAGAGAAATGCAGAGAGAGGGCACCAGCTGTGGGAGGCTGGCAGTCTCCATCCCTCCCTCCTTTCCAGGAGCTGGTTGGCATGTCCCTCTCCTTTCTTGACCCACTGATTTGGTTCCATCAGGGTTGAAAGCCTGGGCTTTACACCCAAAAGAGGTTGACCTCAAGTGTCTGGGCTTCATATCTTCAGAGGAGGCTCAGTGTCCCACTGGGACGTGCCTGGACTGTTTGGTGGCTTCACTCAGTGAACACAGCAAGAAATAGGATGGAGGAGGCTGGGATGGAGGGGTAGGTGGGAAACCAGAGGAGTGAACTGGTGAGGTGAAATGGGCTTTGAACAGTTTGTGCGCATGTGTGAGCGTGTAGGAGTGCAGGTGCGTACACCCATGGGAGGTGGAGGAGGGAGGGTGGTGATTTTTATCCTTGCTTTTCCCATATCTGATCCCATTAAGGCTGTGATCCCCACTGCTTTGCTGGGAGCTGACCCGCTACCCCCACCCCAGGGCCAGGTCCCAGCCCCCAAGAAGACAGGTTCTTTCCTACCTGCAACGTCGCTGAAGAAGATGCTGATGTTGAGTTTCTGGGGAGCATCTGGGATGGAAAGATATGGCCCTGCTTCAGACGTGAAGACTGGAAGTTGACCCAGCACCCAAGGAGGGGTAGGGGAACCGGGAAGGTGGGGATTGCTGTTCTTGTCCACTCCCCACCTACACTCCCAAGGCGCGCATGTGTGCACACACACAATGCCCACTGCCCTGAGGGACCCAGACATCCCTCCAGCACTCACAGGAGACATTGAGCCTGATGGTTCTTTCCACGGTGTCCTGACCTCCTGGCAGGTGCACCTGACAGGTGAGGTTGCTGCCATGGTCCTGCAGCCTCGGGGTGAGGGTCAGCACTGAGGAGTGGAGGGTCTGGGGGTCCAGCGAGTCAAGAGCATCCCCCACCCAGGAGAAGGTGAGAGGTCTTCCCCCTTCGCAGGATCCCAGCATACTGCAGGTCAGGTTTGTGGGATAGCCAGACTTCAGGGGCTCCGGAAAGTGGATGTCGGGTTTCTGTGTCAGGGCTGAGGAGGAGAGAGGGAGGTGCTTGGGCCCCAGGGAGGTGGGGACCCAGAGTGTGACCCTGAGAGGGACCAGGGCCTCAGGGCACAAGCTGACCCCGGGCCCCCATACCTCTTCCCACCATCCCAGCCCCAAGACCTGGAACAAGGAATGTTCCAGTGTCCGGTTCCTGTTCTATGAGGGGGGTCTCCACGTCCCAGAGCCCTCTTCTGGGGCCCGTGCCGGACCTGCCACCTGCACCATCAGCTTCTTATCTCTGTAACTATATTTCGCGTTGTCTCCCCCCATTCGGAACTTGTAGACTCCCTGGTCACTCTTCCTGGCCTCTCTGATTCTCAGGGAGCAGTTGTTGTCCCAGGGGCTCCCGATGAGGTGGAATCGGTCCTGGGTCTCTATCTTCACCATTTTCGTTCGGTCATTTGTAGCCACAGGATAACGGCTGTCCCCATTCCGGAACCAGTACATGTAGGGCTTCTCACTGGCATACCACGGTCTCCAGGGGTAGGAGAAGGAGCAGGGCACGTGGACACACAGACCCTCCTGCACCGTCACTGAGTCCTGCACTCGGAGCTCGAACCCTGGATCCTCCTGCAGGGACCCTGGGGGGACACGGAGGCTAAGCTGCGGCTCCAGCCCACTCCCACCTGTGCCCAGCCAGCCCCCCTCCCTTGGCCCACTTACCCCCCCCACAGCAGGGGCAGCAGCAGCAGGAGCAGGGGCACCATGTCTGCACCAGCCAGGGCAGGAGCCCGGGTTCGGGTCCCTCTGTCAGGGAAGGAAATGGCCCGAATGGAGGGTGAGGCAAGGAAGCCCCAACAGGAAGCCGTGTGTGACAGAGCTGTGGTCACCACAGAAGGGGAACTTAGTCAGCACGGGCCATGGGAGGTGAAGTGGGGGCTGAGAAATCATCCTGGCTCGCCTCTGTATCTGACACAGCAGGTGAGAATACCGAGGCCCCCTGGAGGCTGGGATGCTTGTCCAGATGTGAATCTGGACGTGATCGCCTTCCAAATGATGTTTATATCAAGAGTGAGGTCAGCGGAGGGCCAGAGCAGCTGGAAAAGAGAAATGGAGTGTGCAGGCAGCCTTAGCCCCTTCCCGCAGCCCTTTCTCTTCCCAGTTCCCCATCAGCCTGTGCATCCAGTCCCGGGGCTGCTTCAGGGAATGCTGTGCAGGGCCAGTGGGTCTTAGCTCCTCACCATGTCCTACAGTCCCTTAGACATGTACCAAACCTGGAGCCCTCTGAGCCTCAGGCTCCAGGATTTCAACAGTCATCCAGACGCACGGCAGCTACATCCAGCCAATCTGCGGAGCCGCTGCTCAGATAAAGAATCTGATGAGCCAACTAGGAAGCAAGCAGGACTCAAGCAACCAGAGGAAAATCTGCAACAGTTGCAATATTCCACAAATGCCAAGGAAACAAATGAATCACTAAACTGGAACTTCAGAAAGATGGCCTCCTGAATGACCTCTCTGGGCTGTAAAGGATTTCCAGGCTGTGCAGGGAAGAGTGTCTGAAAAGGAAAAGGAGCTTATTGCCAGAGCGAGAGATGGATCTCCTCTCTCTGTGGAGGAGAGGCAAAGAGAGAGCAGCTCCCCTCATTTGACAGCCATGAGGAGTGGAACCAGATGCAGAGCCAGGAGGATGAGATGGCCATCACAGAGCAGGATCCAGAACTTACTAAAGAGTGAGGAAGGGGAATTTGGCAGCTGCAGGCTGACATTTTGGATGTCCATCGGATGTCTAAAGATTTGGCCATGATAGGGGCGCCTGGATGGCTCAGTCGGTTAAGCGTCTGCCTTCGGCTCGGGTCATGATCCCGGGGTCCTGGGATCCAGTCCTGCATCGGGCTCCCTGCTCAGCGGGGAGCCTGCTTCTCCCTCTGCCTCTCCCCCTGCTCATGCTCCCTCTCTCTCTCAAATAAATAAAATGTTAAAAAAAAAAAGATTTGGCCATGATGATCCATGACCAAGGTGACCCAATGACAGCAGAGAAGCCAATGAGGAAAGTTCCAAGTTGCATGCAGACAAAGCCACGTGGGTCAGTTATAGCAAGCTGCTTCACTGGCAGAAAAAAAAAATCTCACAAGAACATCTACATTCTGGTGCTTGTCCTGTTAGTGATGACTGCAGTCTTGGGACTTATTATCTGGCAAATCTGAAGCAATTGCCTCAGAGCTGTCCTTTGCTGAGCTGTTTTCAGGGGCCAGTGCTTCTTGGAGTCTTGCCAGAACAAACAAATATTACAGGAAGAGAACATATATGCTGAAACGACCTGTCATAATTTAGTTAGAAACTAATGACTAGCTAGACAGTGTTTTTCAATTTACATATACATTACATTGATTTCTCAGATTAGTAGGAGTTAATTTATGTGGATTTTGCCTGCTTTTGTATTCTGATTGCCCTTCATCTCGAGTGCTTACTGAAATTTGCATTCTAGATATTCCTTTTTTTTTTTTTTAGATATTCGTGTTTTGACAGGTGACACTAGAATCTTGTAATATCACATTTTTAGTGTATACAAGATTCCTCTTTTTACTAGCAACAGAGATAGAATTACCTTCTGGCACCCAGGATATTGGAGCCTGTCAGAAACTACATAATACGCCAGCATTTTTTATTATTTAACATTTTCATTTGAATTTCTAAGCAGAAATCTGCTTTGAAAGATTTTGGCAATATCTTTAACTGGAAAGCAAACAATTTCACTGTGATCCAGATTAAAAGTATGGATTGGAGCCGTCCAGTTGTCGGGGTACATGTTATTCTGGGTTTGAAGTTTTCTTTATTATCTGCTGGTGTCCATGGCAAGCTCGCCCATACACACACTAAACCGTCTTGTTCACTGTTTAAAGTGGTGAATTTAATTAACATAACTATACTCTCTGGGGTCTCTCTCCCCCAGTCTGTATAGAAAGGGAGATTTAGACGAAGCATGCTTTTGAAAGACAAATGGGAATTGTTTGGAATGATTTCATTTTATTGTTGTTCACTTGCGGTTCTACGGTCCCAGTGAACAATGAATGTTGCTATCTCTATGAAAAGGCTGTCCCCTACCCTAGAAGTGTTGCTGGGTATTGGATGGCAGGAAGATTCTAAAAGCTATGTTGAAGTTGGCTTAAGATTTAGTCCTCATGAACCTGGCAAGAAAGTAATGAAAAGGCTCATTTTTGTAAATAATACTGGTTTGGAATAGTGATGTTTGACTTATGTTAATATGAACAAAAGATTAATCTGTTCGTGCATAGTTTTAGACAAAAAAAAATGCTTCAATAAAAGATTGCTGCCTTGTAATAAGAAATATATTTTTTTAAAGATTTCATTTATTTGCCAGAAAGAAAGAGAGAGAGAGCACAAGCAGGGAGAGCGGGAGGCAGAGGGAGAAGCAAGCTCCCCACTGAGCAAGGAGCCTGATGCGGGGCTGGATCCCAGGACCCCGGGATCACGACCTGAGCCGAAGGGAGATGCGTAACCGACTGAGCCACGCAGGTGCCCAAGAAATATTTTTTAAAAAGAGAAGGGGGGACTAGTCCTGGAGATTCAGTGTGACTCACCCTCGAGCTGAAAAACCCTGAACATTCTGGAAAAGCATCACTTAAAATTTTCTTAAAACCATGCAAGTTCTGGCAAGGAAGAAAGGAATTTCCAGACCCAAATCCAAGGGAGGGTGGAACGCAGAGGGAAAGCTAAGTTAAAGCCCCTTTGTTATGAGGGGTTTTCGGAGCATGGCATCCTCGAAAGTTTGTCCTCATGAATCTGAAGGTCTCATGGAACAGAGATGGCACAAGTCCACTGAAAAGAGCACGTGTTAAGGGGGACCGGTGCCCCATTGGGCGGGGACCCCAAAAGTCTGGCTTCAGCAGAGAAGCAAATCTGCCACCCTGAAACTAATGAAGCTCCATCTTCAAGGGACCCTTTTTTGAAAAGTCCTGGCAGGGGCTCAAAGCATGTATGAAAAGACCCTGTAATCCCACTGCCCTCTTAGGAAAGAAACTCGATAAGGTTTCCCCAAACTTGACATTTGACATAAACATTTTAGACATTCTTGTAACAAGCTGTAGGATTGAAAGACAATTTCTTCGTGTGTCTGGCTGGCTCAGTCAGAAGAGCATGCCACTCTTGATCTGGGGATTGCGAGTTTGAGCCCCACACTGGGTGTAGAGATTATTTAAATAAATAAATAAAAACTTAAAAAAAGAGTATCAGTCAAAAAAGGTGGGCAACATGTGTTATGCAGGTGTGCCAGAGAGGTATTCCATACTACTAATGAAAATAGCCTCTAATTCTTGGGAGTTGTCTCATATTTTGACTTTGCACATTTTACCTTTTGCAATTTGATGTGGTGCATTTTTTCATTTTCTCATTTAAAAAAATTCATACGTATGCCAAATGTGGTATTTCTTTTCTAAGGAGTGATCTCAACGCTTGTATAAATATTATGCTCCCCAGAACCTAGGACTGTCTCTGCTGAGTGAACAAGAGGTAACAAGAGGTAACCAGGTGAACAAGAGGTAACCAGGTATATCTCTCCACTCCCCACTCCTCATGAATTGCAGGGGAAATTGCCTTGAGCAAAGCAGGGACTAAAGAAGACAAGTATCCCACGTTGTGCAGCATAAACTCACATCGCCTGGTGGTCTGACAAATCTCAAGCTGGAATCATCAAAAAGACAAACAACAAGAAGTGTTGGCAAGGACGTGGGAAAAAAAGAAACTTTGTGCACTGTTGGTGGGAGTGTAATTAGTGCAGTCACTCTGAAAAACAGTATGGAGGTTCCTCAAGAAATTAAAAATAGAACTACCATATGATCTAGCAATCCCACTTCTGGTATATATCTGAAGGAAATGAAAGCACTAAGTCAAAAAGATATATGCACCTGTGTGTTCACTGCAGCATTATTGACAATAGCCAAGATAGGAAATAACGTAAGTGTCCATCCACAGATGAATGGATAAAGAAGATGGAGTTTATATGTACATGATGGAGTATTCTTCAGCCATAAAAAAATTAAGGAAATCCAGGGCACCTGGGTGGCTCAGTTGGTTAAGCATCTGCCTTCGGCTCAGGTCATGATCCCAGGGTCCTGGGATCGAGCCCCGCGTCAGGCTCCCTGCTCTGCGGGGAGCCTTCTTCTCCCTCTCCCTCTCCCACTCCCCCTGCTTGTGTTCCCTCTCTCGCTGTGTCTCTCTCT